TTAAATCAAATAATTCTTTAAAAAAAAAAAAGTCACATACAAAATAATGAAGTTAGACCCTTATTCTAACCCACACAAAAAATTAACCAAAGACACTTACAAGAAAAAATAAAGGTAAATCTTTATGACTTTAGGTTGGACAAAGGAATCTTGGATGTGACACCAAAAGCAAGAACGATAAAGTATAAAGCAGAACATCTTATTTCATCAAAAGTAAAACCTCTGTGCTCGAAAGCAAGGAAAAAAAACAAACAAACAATACACAGAATGGGAAAAAAAATATTTGCAAACTGTTAAGAGACTTAAATCTAGACTATACAAAGAATTCTTACAACTCAATAATAATAAGACAACTCATTTTTAAAATGGGCAAAGTGGGGATCAGCCAGTGGTATAAAGGACTCTTACATGGCTGACCAAGGTTTGAGTCTCAGACTTGAAGGCCTGAAGAGCACACTAGGTTCATGTCCAAAATCCCAAGAGGAGACTGGAGGATAAAGACGGCACGACCATCACCCTGGCAGTGATTTCTCACTTTCCCTTTTGTCTCTGGCAAGTACACTGCACTAAGGCAAAAACCTTAAAAAACAAAACCAAAAGAATGGGCAAAGTGTGCTGGCTGGTGGCATGGTGGTTGAGACAGCAGGATCCCATGTGGCTGACCATGCAGCTCAAGTCCTAGACTAAGCAGCTTGAAAAACATGCTGGCTTGTATACACTCGTGCCTAAAATTCCACTGTCAGAAATGGAGACTAGACTGTGGCATGACGATGCCCATAGGGGTATGCTTATTTTCCTTCTCTTTCTCCCCCAAAACCTCCACAAGCACATATACCTGCTGGCAAAGGGAAATAAAAAAAGGCGAAATATCTGAATAGTCATTTCGCCAAAGATATACGGTAACCAATAAGCACAATAAAAAATGCTCAGCGTCATTAGTCATTAGGGAAATTAAAACAACATGGGATACTGTTTTATACCTATTAGGACAGCTAGAATAAAATAAATAAATTAATTTAAAAAAAAAAAAAAAAAGGCTTGCAGGTGGCATGACGGTTAAAGACACTGGACTCCCACATAGCCGACCGTGGTTTGAGTAGAGAAACTAGAACTACCATATGTTGCTACTGGGAATTAAAATGAGTTATTATGGGTGCCAGCAGGTGGCATATGGTTAAGGTCCTGGATTCCCCACCTGGCAGCTTGCTTTCTCACTTACCATTTCTTTCTCTGGTCAAATTTAAAAATGAGGGAACCAGCAGTTAACGTAATGGCTATGTCGCTGGACTCCCACGTAGTCGACCGCAGTTCGTGTCCCGGACCCGGTGGCTTAAAACTCATGCCGGGCGCATGCATGCCCAAGATCCCGAGAGGAGAATGGAGAAGGGATTGCGGCATGACCATCCCCCGGGGAGTGATTTCTCACTTTCTGTCTCTATATCTCTGTCTGTCTGGCGAGCACAAGCCATATAGCAAAAACCTCTCAAAAAAAAAGTTTTAAAATGATACTAATAAATAAAATTAAATAATTCTAAAAAGCAAACAAACAATAACAACAAAAACTAGAGTTGCTATGACTCAAAAATTCCATTCCTAAATACATATTCAAGAGAAGCAAAAATATATATTCACACCAAAACTTGTACACTGATGCTTACAGCATTATTTATAATAACCATAAGATAGAACCCACCCAAGGGTCATTAATAGATAGATAAAATGTGATGTATACATACAATGGAATTGTATTATTCAGCCCTTAAGAATGAAGAAAACTCTGCTACATGGATGAACCTAGAGGACATTACGCTAAGTGAATAAGCCAGATACAGAAAGATAAATACTACACGATGTCACTTGCATGTGGAATCTAAAGAAGTTGAACTCAGAATAGAAAAGTTTTGCCAGAACCAGCAGATGACCTAATGGTTAGATTGCTGGACTGCCATGTAGTCAACCACAGTTCAAGTCCCAGACCCAGCAGCTTAAAACTCACGCTGGACAGGTGTGTATGCATGCCCTAAATCCTGAGACAATGGAGAAAGAATTACAGCATGGCCATCCTTCTTGGGGGGAGGAGGTTCTTGCTTTCTGTCTCTCTGGCAAGCACACACACCCTATAGCGAAAATCTCTCTCTAAAAAAAAAAATAAGGTTATTGCTAAGAAGCTGGGCTGTGTGCCCAAAATCCCAAGACAAAAACAGAGGGGAAGGGACAGTAGTGTGCCTATCCCTCCAGGAGTTTCTCTCTCTCTCCTTGTGAGCATGTGCTCTATAGTAAAAAAAAATATTTTTTTGAGAGGTTTTCACTATAGGGCGTGTACACTCGCCAGACAGACAGAGACAGACAGAGACAGAAAGCGAGAAATCACCCCCCAGGGGGGATGGCCACGCCACTATCCCTTCTCCTCCATTCTCCTCTCAGGATCTTGGGCACGCACGCACACGTGCCCGGCGTGAGTTCTAAGCCACCAGGTCCGGGACACGAACCGTGGTCGACCACGTGGGAATCCAGCGACATAGCCATTACGCTATGCTGGTTCCCTATACTAAAATTTTTTTTAAAAATGGTGGTTGCCAGAGCTGGGTGGTGGAGACCTAATGTATATAATGGTAGTTATAGTTAATAATAATACACTATAAACTCAAAATATGCTGAGAGATTGTGTGTTTTAATCAAATACACAAAAGGGTAACTATGTGAGGTAAAGGATAGGTTTATTTGACTAAGGTGGTTATTTTGCATTGTGTACATGTATCAAAACGTGTTGTCGGGACCAGCAGTTGGCATAATGGCTATGTCACTGAACTCTCATGTAGCTGACCACGGTTCAAGTCCTGGACCTGGTGGCTTAAACTCACGCGGGGTGCGTGTGCGTTTGTGCCCAAGATCCTGACAGGACAAAGGAGGAGAAGGGATTGTGGCGTGGCCATTCCCCCTAGAGGGTTATTTCTTGCTTTCTGTCTCTCTGTATCTCTCTGTCTTTCTGGCATGTGCACACACCCTACAGCGAAAACCTCTCCAAAAAAAATTAAAAAATAAAAAGTGTTGTCCACTCTGAGTGTATATAATATTTAGTTATAAATTATACCTCAACAAAGCTGAGGGAAAGGAAAGGGAAACTGGATGATGGTCTAGCAGAAAAACATAATGTACTATGAGGCTGACCCACATGGGAGGATTCCTGGTTGGTGTTGGGAGACCTCTCTCAGTATGCCATGCATGTACATGCCCATGACCCAGGGATGGTTAAGGCTAGCTAGGAGTTGCTTGCAGAACTGGAACCCTGCTAGTGGTGCCATCTCTCTCACTTGTGAAAGAAAGAAATTTGGGTCCAGTAGGTAGCAATTTTTTTTCCCTTTAAAATTTAACTTATTGGGGGACCAGCAATTAGCATAATGGCTATGTCACTGGACTCCCACGTGGTTGACCGCGGTTCGTGTCCTGGACCCGGTGGCTTAAAACCCATGCCGGGCGCGTGTGCATGCGTGCCCAAGATCCTGAGAGGAGAATGGAGGAGAAGGGATCGCGGCGTGGCCATCCCCCCTTGGGGGTGATTTCTCGCTTTCTGTCTCTCTCTGTCTGTCTAGCGAGCACACACGCCCTATGGCAAAAAAAAAAAAAACCTCTCAAAAATAAAATAAAATAAAAATAAAGTTTAACTTATTGGAACCAGCAGTTGGCTTAATGGCTATGTCTCTGGACTCCCATGTAGCTGACTGCTGTTCGAGTCCCGGACCCAGTGGACTAAACTCACTCCGGGCGCATGTGTGCCCAAGATCCCAAGAGAATGGAGAAGAAGGTATTGCGGTATGGTGATTTCTTGCTTTCTGTCTCTCTGCCTTTCTGGCGAGCGCACGTGCACCAGTCAAAAAAAAATTATTTTTTAATTTTAAATAATTGTTTCAATTTAATTTAATTAATTTATTTTAATTTGACCAGAGAGGGAGAGAGGGAGGGAGGGAGGGAGGAAGTGAGAAAGCAAGCTGCCAGGTCCAGGACTCGAACCACAGTCAGCCATGTGAGAGTCCAGCACCCTTCACCCTTCAACAC